TCAGGTTTTATACGGCGTTCAAATTGTAATTTGGGACTAGGACAAGTAGTTGGAGAAATATTAGATTAAAAAGTGAATGCGAGACAGAGGTTATTATATCTGTATACACTGGTAGAGATATTTAGTCGCTACTCTGAGTAATTAGGTTAGGGATAGTCATCTGAAGAACAGAACAACATGTTTGAAATGGTGAACACAACAATCCACAGATATCAAAATGTGAAACGTTTCCTGGTGGTCTTCAGTTCCTCTCCGATCGTCAGAGAAAATCTGGCAGTGTAATTGTAGGGGCGTAGTCTCGTCAAATCGATTCCACGTGTATTCCTGTTGACAGGGACAGAGACGCTAGGACCCATTATTACATGTGACGCGCTGATACTAACTGCAAAACTCACTCATGCATATAAAAACAACAGAGATGTCAATGAAATTCTGAATACAAGAAGACAGGCAAATAAGGCTTGGCTCTCTTCAAATTCATTATGTAATAAAATTCATGTGAGACGTCAGCCGAGAAGCCACGCAATGTTGCTTCCAACCATTACGGCCTGATCTGTAAATATAAGTGTATCATAATTACACTATGAGTATACAGGGGCGACATTTTGAGTGAAGTATATATGGCAAATAAAGAGTTGTTTTTTTGGAGGTGGAGATCAAGATGATCTGGGATCACTAAAAGAAAACCGGCATGGAGGTTGGAAAGTGAAATAAAAGATATGGAGAGCTGCAGCTCGTGTTACATGTTAACAGCTCTTCTTGCAATATTACAAGTCTGATCTGCTGTCACAAAATGCAGAAAAAGGGCCGGTATTTTGGTGTTTTAAAGAACTTTAGTCATCTTTCTTTTTGTCAGGGGACACCACTGGGAGCGTTGTCCTAACTTTAGGGCACTAGGAGAGGTCGTAGAAGGGTGGCCCACTTTAACCACTGGTTGATTTAGACCCAATAAGGAGAGGTAAAAGTAAGTGATTTGTGTATGTTACACTGTTATTATAGAGATAATATAAAGGACACCACACACACACACATACATACACAACCAGGGAGGGAACCCTGGAAAGTGAAAGGTGTACAGTTGGCCAGTCTCCATCTTTTGAGCTCGCCAGAGGGCAGAAGGGAGGAAACTGAAGGGCTGAGGGTGCAGGTGCAGTGTTAATACAAATTATATTATCTTTACTGTCAAAGTCCTCTGAGTCAGTTTTTCTTCCTGTGCGACTGTAGAGGACAGGAAATGTTAGAAGCAACGCGCAGTGTCCTTGATGCATCTGTGGATACAAAGTTTGTGATTGACTGAATCAATACAGACTTAAACCTACTGGTAACCCAAGAAAACAAAGTACCAGGTTAAGAAAAGTCGACCAGGTGGAGTTCTATAGTCTACCTGACGCCGTTACATAGCCTCACTAGTACCGTGATAACAGATATGGGGTGCTGTGTGTGTGTGATGTGTGTGTGTTGTGTGTAGGTGTGGGTGTGTGTGTCTTGTCGTGTGTTGTCTCTTTGCGTCTGTGTGTGTCGCAGTCTTGCATGTACTTGAACAAACCCTGTTTCCTGTTTCTTGGTGTCTGAGCTCACGTCCGCTCTCCTCTATCCTCTCAGTCCTGTCGCAGTACTGACTGAAGTGCAGAAGATGGTGCTCCTGTGTGCGCGCCAGAAGAGGACAGAGCCAGAGTCTCCAGTGTCCAGCTGTCCTGTCTATGAAGAGTATCGGTCCAAAGATATTCCCTCTGCCTTCAGTAATGAACCTGGACCCTTAGCCACAAAGTAAAGAAAACTATTAACTCATTAATTCTTAATCATATTCAGTTACTCATCTGCAGATTCAGTGTGATGGGGTTGATTTTGCCTCGCTGCCATATTGCGAATTTTCTCCCTGACAGTATTTCCAAACCAAACTTTTTCTAACTTTTTGCTGATACTGACAAAGAGAAATATTTTTGGTTCCATCTTCCTCTTTGGAACTGTGGCTGTCAGCTCCCCTACAAAATTCTGTAATCTAATCTAAGAGAAGTCCAGAGAATTTATTAAGGATTCATGTTGAAACAAATAAAATGTGTCTTGTGTTTCGTCTAGAGTTCAGTACAACCAGACAGAGAGCAGAAAGTCTCCAGTGGGTCCAGCGCCTGCTCTATGAAGAGAGGCGATTGGTCAAAGAGTAATAACTCTCACTACTTCAGCTAATGGAACCTGGACCTCAGACACAAAGTAAGCAAAACTGTTTTTACTGTAAACTGACTGAATGGAAGGCGCTGGATTCATTGAAGATCGAAGACAAAATAGATTTACTTTTTATGATGCCAGAACTATTTTGCCAGCACTGTTGTCAAACTAAAATGCTATCTTATTTCAAATTTTTTTAACAAAACACAGTATATCGTAATCTACTCATTCATATATACATATACATCCAATATCCCTCATATATGGGTGTTTGCTCTGCATGTTGACAGCTCGCTGTAACACGCCACTCCGCCAACTCATTATCTGAAAGCAACTTGTTTCAATGCTGCTACTTAACATACTATTGGTCTTCAAAGAGAAGAAACAAACATCCATTTACCTTTATGTATTTGGAGGACTGTCTGAACTGCGACCACTATTCCTTCATTCGATTGTTGGACAATATTAAGAGTGACAGGAAACATAGAAAAGGAATGAAAAACAAACTACAGGCAGAATCATAAATGTTTAATAGACAAGACTATAGACAGGAAAGGCCTCAGTGTTTATGAAGCGGAGAGTTGAAATAAAAAGGAATCATTTTCATCTACAGACTGAATGCTGATTCAAACAGAAAAAGTTAACAACATTTTAATGTATCTCTGTGACCTCTGAGCTCCAGACAGCTGTCGCCGACAAAGTCTCAGTATTTTTCATCAACAAATCAACAAATCACTTTTAGTAATAAGAAAGTGTCTTCACAGAAGAGAGGAAGATGGAAGCATACGTTTCTGTGGAGGGAGCAAGCTGTCCTAGCTGTTTTTGTGTCCGGACGTCTGTAAGGATCCAGTCTCTACCAGCTGGTGGACACTGGTCTGGCAGACCAGTGCATCACTCATACGACAGCTGCTCCTCCACAGAAACATGACTCCTCTTCCTCTCTCTGTGAAGATTAGCACATTACATTCACGGTGACCCAACCATTGCTCAGAAGTTGCATTCATCTCTTTTGCTTCAAATTTACTATATGTGGCTCTTCTCAGTGTTTTCCACTGCACAACTTTGTAAGAGATTTCAGGTAAGACTTCTAAACTTCTAAACTTCTTCTCTACTCAGAAAAAAGTAGTATACCAGACCGACGTGATAAGTTTTACTGGCTTCTTCAATCACATCACACTGTACCAGACCATTAAACTGCATCAACAGTGGTGGTGAGCAAGGAGTTCAATTTCAGACTCAGTTTCCTCTGTGATAAATCAGCAGTTCTTCAGGACTTACATTAGACTCTCTGTGTCTGAGGGTCCAGGTTTATTACTGAGGTCTGGAGGTTTGTCTTTGGAAAAGTCACTCTTCATAGATTCTGACACGGACACTGGAGACTCAGCTCTCTCTCTGTGGAAACAACAAATGTTTTACACACATCACGAGTACTTGAAGAGCAGAGGGAACATTAACATCACACATGGTCATAATTAAATAAACAATTATATTTATTTCTCTGTTTGCATGCATCTTTACTGCACTCTACTGCGTTTCTTTACTGCACTCTACTGCGTTTATTTACTGCATTCTACTGCGTTTCTTTATTGAATTCTACTGTGTTTCTTTACTGCACTCTACTGCGTTTCTTTACTGAATTGTTCTGCATTTCTTCACTGCACTCTTCTGCATTTCTTTACTGCATTTTACTGCATTTCTTTAGTGCACTTCTTCACTGCACTGTCCTGCGTTTCTTTACTGCACTCTCCTGCGTTTCTTTACTGCACTCTACTGCATTTCTTCACTGCACTCTACGGCGTTTCTTTACTGCATTTTACTGCGTTTCTTCACTGAATTCTACTTTCAGTTTCTTACTTTGCGTCTGAGGGTCCAGGCTCATTACTGAAGTCTGGAGGTTTGTCTTTGGAAAAGTCACTCTTTATAGACTCTGACACGGACACTGGAGACTCTGCTCTCTTTCTGTGGAAACAACACATGCACACATCATGAGTACTTGAAGGGCAGAGGGAACATTAACATCACACATTGTCATAATTTATTAATAACAAGCAATTAAATAGATTTCTCTGTTTGCATGCATGTTCACTGCACCCTACTGCGTTTCTTTAAAGTGACAAAAATATATACTGACTCAGGTCACAGTGTGAACAGAAAAAATTACATTGAATCTAATCTTTTCAATTCAGATTTTGTATATTTTGTACTTTTGTACATGGACCTAAATCAGATACACGTCTGAGAATTCATGAGCCTTTCCAGTCACTCACTTTCTCATGGAGATGGGTCGCCTGAACTGAGCGTCTTGCTGTGAGAATCTGGTGGAGAGGCGCTGACAGATGTAGTTTAAAGTATCACTTGAAATACTGAAATTTTGGAGAATATCTGTATCTGTGAAGCCATTCACATCACAATTCCACCACTCCTGGCTCTGACTCCATATCTGCAAACACTTCCGTACAGATGCAGCAGCCACTGCTCCACAAAAAGTCACATTTAAAAATTTGCTTCTCTTTTTCCTCATCCTCGTCTTCGTTATCAGATGCTCACAAATTCGCCGGCTTCCACTGTACACAGACTTAAAGAAATTGGGAACTATGACATCAGTTGCCATTTTTACTTCTGTACGTCAGAATTCGACATGTGACGTCTTTGTTATTGTTCTTTTGTGCGAGGACGGTTCAGGGTTGCGACGTGTTCACACTGGAGTCCGAGTCACATTTAAAAATGAATGTGAACAGCCAAACAAACAAAAAATTCAGAACTGATCAATAAATCCAAATTGTGCACAAAGGCTTTCAGTTTGAACGCAGCCTTACTTTGTGTCTGAGGATGCCGGTTCATTACAGCTGGATGCTGGAGACTCTGCTCTCTTTCTGTGGAAACAACAAACGACATCATTAGTGTTTGCACGGAGCCGAGGGAACATTGACTTCACACATGATCCTAATCAGATAATTAATACAAATAGTTATGGTTATTTGTCCATCTGTAGTTCTACATCTTTCTCAATATTTTGACTTAGTATTTCAAATAATGCTCTCAAAATTTCTCTCTCTTTCTCAAAAAGAGCTCCAGGAGACAAACTAGGGCTGCACGATATGGTAAAAACATCAAATTACAATTATTTTTTACAGATATGATTCACTTTTGCGTCACAGTTTTAATGTTTAAAAATTAAAATAAAAAAAACCTTCTGGTCTAAAGTACTTAACTATAACACTGTTAGTCACATTTTACCTGCAGCTTCCTGCTATTTGCATATTGCACACGGCTATATTGCGATTTCTGGACAAATAAATAGAACTGAATTAATTGTGCAGCCTGATTTGTTGTGTGTTTTACTGCACTCGACTGTATTTGTAACTTTACATCTTAATGTGAGTTTACAGCAGAAATAATCTCTTACTTTGTGTCTGAGGATCCAGGTTCTTCACTGAAGCCTGAAGGTTTTCTTTTAGTCTGACCTGGAGACGCTGCTCTCTCCCACTCTTCCTCCAAATCACTCATCTTCTTATGGCTGGAGGTAAATCAGCGGTGAAAGTAGTTTCAGTGCCGGGCCGAGAGGGGACAGCTGCTGCCTCCACATACAAACAACTCGTCACAATCACATTTCCAGCCAGAAAACAGCTGATGTTAGGTCGACATACAACAGCTAAGTCTCTCATAAATTCCTTCTTGAGTGTGCGACTAACAGTCAACTACAATTAAAATCAAATAACTTAAAGCTGCAGTTGGTATTTTTTATATTTGCTACCAGGAGGAGGAACCAGAGATTATCTGTCTCATGTTCTACTGTCAGGATGAACAAAAAACAACAGTACTGTGCAAATAGCAGATTTATTTAACATTAACTAAAAACAGACAAACCGATTAAAAACAAGGACAACATAAAACATACAACAAAGAAAGATTCAAGTTATTTCAATAAGTTTGACCCTGTTGTCCGTTAACCCTGTGGTTCCCAACATGGCCGTCGCACAAATAAAGTCGCTTAAAATGACTAAAGTTACTCATTAAGAATGTTTTTAACTTACAAAATAGAGATAGGGTTACTTTAAAGTTTTGATTTAATCAGCATGTTTTTTGAGTTAAATTAATTTTAACCTGGTTTCATTTAGTTCAGTAAAATTAAAACAAATCGTGTTAAACAAGCGATTTGGATGAATTTGAAGTCGATTATTTTCTGTGAATATTTTTTTAGTTTTCCTGATATTTTAGGAACCTTTTAAAAAATGTTCTGTCTCTATTACTTATTTGTTTATTTAGTTTACAATTTTTAACAATTATAGTGGGCGTCTTTTTTTGGACAAATTAGGTCAAATTTCTTCTCCCTGAGCCTTTATTAGCTGTAATGAAATGCTGACAATGCTGTTTATGAGAGAGTAAAGGAAATACTGAGATATAGACGTATCATGTTATTGTGAGACACTTTTATTATTTAAATGAGCCTGAATCAACTATAGGACAGGATGTCAGGTTTCTGCACCATACAGGTGTGTGTGTGTGTGTCTGTGTGTGTGTGTTGTGTGTGTGCTGTTCTGTGGTGTGTGTGTGTGTGTTTCAGGCCATGGAACTGGAGACGAGAACGATATTATACCTAAATAATTTATACCAATGTTCACCTATAGTAATCCTAACACACACACACACACACACACACAGGGTGATAGAAGCTCATTGTGTTACATTAGCTGTGATGGCGGAGGAATCAATCAGTTTTATTTCTCTACAGTTTAATTTAAATAACAGACGTTATGTCCGGACTCTCCTGAAGCCGCGCGCTCTGCGGCACATTAATGTCATATCGGAAAAACACAATAACAGACTGATCAATAAACCTAAACAAATCAATCAGCCGATCAATCGATAATGGCAGTAATGGTTGCGGACACTCACCTTCCCGCGCACTGTGGACAGAAAATGGAGTCTGAACTGTACAGATTTACTTTCACTTTCAGTGTTCAGCTCCTCCTTCTCCTTCTTAACACACAGTTACACAACTCACAC